CGCGCGAGCGTGTGTGGTGGTCCGTTAGGTCCTTCCTCCCTCACAAAAGTGGGTCACCCCGGGGGAGATGCCCTTAGAAGAGAGGCTCCTATCTTTATACACATTTCACCAAGTAAAACTACCAATGTGGTAATTTTTCCACTTGAGACTCTATAGCTTTCAAAGCTATTCATATATACATTTCCAACAGCATTGTATGTATCACCCTATTCTCCAAATTGGAGGAAAAGAGAGAAGGAAGAAGTTTTTGTTTTTATTTGCTTTTCATTCTCATTTTTTGGGTGAGATGAATGATTAGGAAATTAAAGTTTATAATTTTTTTACATTTTTTTATTTTGTTGGATAAACATCTTATACAATTTGTCTACTTGTGATTATTCCTTTTTATCAATATTTATCTAATAATAAATTAATTTTACGGCAAATACCTTAGAAAACTCGAACTATAAAAAAGTGTCACTTATGTCCCGAAGTATTCAATATTATATTTATGTCATAAACTATTTTTTTCGTTAGTGTTGATCGAGTTTGGCCGTCAATATTTATCATAAACTCCAGTCAGCGTCTTAGCTTCTTATATGGAATATTTAATATTTATTTGTATTCATTTTTTTCATCTAAAATGATTAAATCCAATATTTATTTAATTTCATTCATTTTTCATCGAAAATGATTAAATCTAATATTTATTTATTTTTCTATTTCACTAAAGTTATATTTAAATTAAAAATATTTAAATTAAAAAATATGAGGTTAATGACGGTTAATTACATCTCCTGGACATAAATAACACAGAACTACCATACATTGGGACATAAATGAGATATTGAATCGTTTGGAACAAAAATAACACTTTCTTGATAGTTCGAGTATCCAAGTGGTATTAGCCCTTAATTTTGTAATTTTCATACCTTCCTTATTTCTATCGTACTTGTGAGTGTCGCTCTGGTTGAAAGCAAGTCGAGTTTTGACAAAACTCAAATCCAATCATCGTACTTGTTTGTGGGTGCCGGTCGGGTGGAAAGTGAGTTGGGGTTTTACTATTACATATAAACAATAAACTAACATATCTATCACACTTCCCAATATATTTCTTCTCTCCACACTTCTCTCTTCACTTTCCTCCATAAAACAATATTTTCCCTCCCCTCCAATTTTCCTTTCCCTTCATTTCTCTCTTTCTTAAAATTTTCCTTCCCCTCCATTTTTCTCCCTTCCTTCGAGAACAGAGTGTGACACAATCTAGTTACAATAGACCAGGCCAGGAGGTATACTAAGCCAAACTTACTTCCCAACTAATTACAATACAGTACTGAAACTAAAGTAACATCACAATCAAGTGCTATAACTAATTCTAGTTGTTCTACAATCTAAGACTCCAAGATAAAAAAAATAAAATAAAGCCTTATATTAATTGTGACATAGCTATATGTTTTTTTATACGTTGGATAAGGTTGTTAGTTTACGAAACGAAAGAAAATCGACATAAGATTTACGTGGTTTCCTCGTTCAGTATGAACGAGACTAGTCCACGGTCGCAGCGTATAAAACTCTTATTCAAGTGAGCCTGACGATCTCGGAGGCTACAAATTATATATACAATCATAACCCTAAGGGTTTTGGTAATCGGCAACGAGTGCCCTATGCATGGGTCGCACACTCCATGCACGTATATGGGCTTAAAACCCTACATATTTATTAAGTAACTCAACAAAGGTAAGCCACAAAAACATTTGATTTTTATGTTGGTGCCACCAACATTAGTTGATGCCAACAATTCGGGATCAAGTTCTGCATAATGTAGATTAAGGTTCTCCAGGCCAGCCACAGGAAACGATTCCGACATATTTGATGTTAATCACATTTCTACGTAACTTAGTTCAGCACTAAAATGAGACTAGTGGTGTTTAAGCCTTCATGAATTTATTCTTGCGTCTACTGTACCAAACTCCTAAAATTATTCTTAAAAGATTTTTTTCCAAAATAAGTCTTCATGAATCTATGGTTCTCGTGAAAAGAGAAGTCTCATACCAAATCTCAACGTTCAGGGGGCTCAAGAGTAAAATTATGATCTCTAAGTACCAAATCATCAATTTCATTAGATTTTAGGGATTACATCTGTATATTTATCTAGTTTATATGCATCCACGTTGATTTCACTAATCCAAACAACAGAAAGTGAGGAGGAGGCATCCGAAGAGACATTGTTATCTTAAGTTAGTGCAATACTGACGAGCAACCAATTAACTCTGTGAACTGAAATGTCCTTGGCAGTCCAATTTTATATAACTGAAGTACGATACGCGCATGGATGGAAAGAAAGTTGATATTTTTCTCTTTATATTACCAGAAAGTTGATATTCGTGTGTTTATCTGAAAAGACTTAAAACCGGCCGGGTTTTGGGAGAGAATGGTTGATCACGGTCGGGTAGGTCACTTTGAGTTTGAGGCCATCTAATATGGGTAGTGAGATGTCAATTTGGCGGATACATCAATACTCATATTCGTCCCACATCAAATATGGGACAGATCGGATAGTTTCAGCATGGGTGTGTGTCAAGGTATTTTGATACATTATTCGAATAAATGGTTTTATAAATGATAATAAAGGAAAACTCGTTAATAAACTTAAGATAGCGATAGTATGTAGATTAATTGAGTTCAATTAGTTGAAAGATGAAGTCTTGCATTTATCTAAATTATCTTGGATGGAAATATGAGTTAAAATAAGACAAGATAGACAAAATAAAAATCGTTATTGAAATAAATCGAAATAAAACAGATCAAGAACGGGATGAAACGAGGCATGATACTACAAAGTAAAAGTAGTACCCATAATTCCCTCTAGTACTGCAGATCGAATATCCCCAACCCAACACTAATCAAATTACATAATATCCAACAGAACATGTTCACATTATCATCACTATTAGTGTATAAGCATATTTGATAAGGGATTAAATATCTTCCTTCATAAAAAACTGAGTACCAGACAAAAGTCTTAGTTGGACTGACAGCCTTGTGTTGCAAATTAAAGCAGCTAGATTGCTGCCGCCTGCCATACACAAACGTAACATCGCCAGAATATTATTCTGAGAAATTGAGGCCCTTACTTTTGTGATTATTTACTGCCTTGTCGTTCCCCAAAAATGATGCGATTTTGTACACCCGCAAGTGTATGATTTTATCATCGTTTGTTTTCTCACAAACAATCCGGGGAAGGTTTTTCGCTTTCTGAACTATAAAAACTAAAAGGAGTATTTTCTTTTAATGATGATGTTTCTCAGTTCAAGTTGGGGGCTACAAATTGCGTTCAAAGGGGTTTGAACTGGGGACGTGCTAAAATCTTACAACTTACTTTATTTTTTAAATGTATTAAAAAATTTATACATAATTTTTCGAGTTGAGACGGAGCTGTGGCCCCGCCACGGTGTATGTGTGAGTGTGACTCTAGTCATAAACAAAAAAAAAAACATGGGTCTGCCAATGGTACATGCATTGCACGCCAATTACTGGACGTACGACCAAAGACTTTGGTCCAAAGTAGCAACAAAGGAAAGGATGCAATGGAAAAGAAAGATGCATGGATGGGGTCTAGCTGTAAAGTCTGGAGAACAACTCAAACATTCATTCATATATTCGTTTGACTCTCAAGTCCAAAAGGGCCGCCAACCTAGCTGATCGATCATTCATTTCCATTCTATTCTCTGAGTCGATCGTTGTCATGAATATTACAGACCAGCCGTCTTGACCACTTTCCTCCCGCCGGCTCACCAATCTAAAAAACAAAACTCGTATTTCCCTCTAGTTACATTCTTAATTTCCCCAGATAACATTATGTCCCTCAGGACTACATTATACGATAATCACAACTTTTGAAAACACCAAACCGAAAACCAATTCGTCTCAAGTTGTTTACTAATGCTTAATTGCTTATAATTTATATAGTAGTGTACATATCTCACTTGCATGGTTTGTATTGTATCAGTTCTACTTCTGTTGAAAATTGGACAATTTTTTTTTTAATAATGTACAATCAATTCACAATTGCGGTTTAATGGGAAAATTCGATAAATGCTAATTAATCCGCTCTTTTTTTTTGTCAATAGATCAGATGTGTTGCCAAAAAAATCACATATTCAACATTTAGTGGCCTGCCAAGACCCAAAGGCGTTTTAAGTTTCCATATATTGTTCTTTACAAAATTTGCGGGTGAAGGATCCTCGTTAGGGTTGGCTCTCGCCATGGCCGCCGCGCAGGGCGCTCCAGCTACATGGGCGCAACTGTTTGGTGTCGGAGAGTCAAATCGATTGCAGTATGTTGCGCCGGAGGTGGTGAATGGTTCTCTGACTATCCCTCGAGCTGTAAGGGATGAGGGTGCTGCTCGTTGGAGGCATGCTTTGGTTGGTCAGTTTCTCTCGCCGGCGCCGGAAATCGAACTACTAAGGCGTTGGGCGAGGCGATTTTGGGGGCGAGATGGGCGTGTTACAGTTTCTCACTTCGGTACAAATATGTTTCTCTTCCAATTTTCGGATCCGGAGACTAGAACTTGGGTTTTTGAAAATGGGCCATGGCACTATGACAACAATCCTCTATTCATTCGTCGCTGGGTTCCAGGCATTCAAGCGGTTCGTATGAGTCTTAATTCGCTTCCAATCTGGGTTTGTATAAGCGGGCTACCACTGGAGTAAAGTAGGGTGGAGGGTTTAAGCAGAATTGCTAGTATGCTGGGTACTCCTTTATGGATGGATCAGGCAACGAGGATGGGAGCTCAGGCAGGTGTAGCAAGGGTTTGTGTGGAGATAAATGCTGATTTTGATTTCCCAGACACAATTAGTGTCATGCCAGAGGGCGAGGATCCGTTGTATTTGGTTGTGCGCTACCTACATGTCCCACAGGTGTGCAAGCAGTGTAATGAATTTGGTCATTGTGAAGGTAAGGGGAAGGAGTGTAAGGAGGTGCAGGTTGTCACGGGTAGAGAATCAGTAAGGGCAGAGGCTATGACGAATGAGGTTGTCTGGGTAGCTAAAGTAAAGGCAAATGGCGGGGGCTCAATGCAAGTAGAGGGTTCAACTAGTGGAGGGCAGAAGGATGTTGATGGTGGGATGGTGCCAGTAGCTAGTGTAAAGGATGCTGGTCCATCAATTGAAGGAGAACCAGTTCCAGGAGCTGACTCAACTGTATGTGTGAAGGATGTTGGTTAAGCAATTGAAGGAGGTCCAATTCAAATAACTGAATCGAAGGAAGGTGTGACAGGGACTGCTGGGTTGACTGATGCAAGTCCAGTTCAAGTAGCTGGCACAACTGGGGGTAAAAAGGGTAGCTTATCTGCAGAGAGCTCAGGTACACCGCCTAATTCTGCTTCTGGAAAGGTGATTGATGAAGATGGTTTTCAGCTTGTTATGAGGAAGGGTAAGGGGATTGCGTATGGCACTGCACTTAAAGTTCCTGCTTCTGCTGCCCAGGCAAGGGACCCTCTTAATGCTCAAGGTCAGGCTTTGGTTATAAGGGATCCCCCTAAGAAGGGGAGGGGAAGAAAGCATAAATGAAGTTTATGAGTTGGAATCTCAGGGGGTTTAAAGCCTCTGAGAAGCATAGATATATTAGTAAGCAGTTAATAAAGTTAAACATAGATTTCGCAGCTATTTTGGAGACAAGAGTTTTAGAGAAGAATGCAGTAGATATCATACAGCGTCAGTTTAGTAACTGGTCACACTTAAACAACTATGCTTTTTCAGCTTCAGGGAGGATTTGGCTTTTATGGAAACCTACTCTTAAAGTCCAGCTAGTTAAGATGGGGATGCATTTCATTCAAGTAAGAGTAGAAGGGCTCTCAAAGTGTACAGTTACAGCAATATATAGTCCGAACAAGGCAAGTGAGAGGTTGGAATTGTATTCAGATCTGCTGCCCTGGAGAGTTGAAAGGGAGCCAGGTGTTTTTATGGGAGACTTTAATGCTGTTATGGAAGCTGCAGAAACCTCAAATACCACAGTAATGACTAAGGGAGGTTTGGATTTCAGGGAGTGGGTCATGGATATGTGTCTAGTTGATCACAAGGTGCTGGGATCAAAATTCACTTGGTGGAATAAGCAGGTAGCAAATCCCATTGCAAAAAGGTTAGATCGTTTCCTTGTTAATGAGGATTGGTTAATATCTTTTCCTCACAGTGTGGCAAAAACCCTGGCTCCAGGAGTCTCTGACCATTGTGGTTTAGTTTTAGATTCAGATCCAAAGTTAAGCTCGCTTCCAAAGCCTTTCAAATATTTTAAATTTTGGCAGAAGCATCCTAAGTATATGCAGTTGTTAGAAGAAGCATGGGGGGAAGAAGCTAGGGGGCTGCCCCATCAGCAATATTATTATAAGCTAAGAGTGTTTAAGGAGAAGTTAAAGCAGCTAAATCGTTCGGAGTTTTCTGATGTATCTGAAAGAGCAAGAGAAGAGAGAGAGTTCTTGAGCAGCAGCAACAGTTAGTACTCCAGAGCCCCACAGCAGACATGGTGAAGAAAGAGCTAGAACTGGCTGCCCTGTGTCATGATATTCAGTCAGCAGAAGAGAGTTTTTTTAGGCAAAAGTCAAGAGTAAGGAGCATACAGGAGGGTGATGCAAACACAGCCTATTTTCATGCCATGGTAAAGATAAGAAACCATAAACAGACTATTGTGAAGTTGGTAAAAGATGATAGTACAGAAGTTACAAAGGTAAAAGAAATGGGGGAGGTTGCAGTGGAATTTTATAAGAAGCTTTTAGGAGAGGTAGACAAGGGAGTACAGCAGCATTCAGTTAGCTACTTTCAGCAACAGCTAAAGTATAGATTAGACTCAGAAAGCATTCAAATACTATTAGTCCCTGTTACAAGGGAGGAGATCAGGGAGGTTTTCAAACGGATGCCAAATGACAAAGCACCTGGTCCGGATGGTTTTATTGTTGAATTCTATAAATCAGACTGGTCTGTAATTGGGAAGCTGGTGGAGGATGTGGTGCTGGACTTCTTTAGCACAGGTGTGATGCCTCAGAAGGTAAATTCCACTATTTTATCCTTAATTCCTAAAGTAGCAAATGCTGATAAAATGAGGGATTTCAGACCTATATCATGCTGTAATGTGTTGTATAAAGGGATATCAAAGCTCCTGTCAAATAGGTTAGCTGCTGTACTTCCAAAGGTTATTGATAGAGCTCAATCTGCTTTTGTGAAAGGGAGATTAATCAGTGATAACATATTGATGGCAAGTGAGTTAGTTAAAGACTATCATAAGCAGAATACCACGTCAAGGTGTGTCTTGAAGATAGATCTCATGAAAGCTTTTGATTCAGTCAATTGGTCTTTCTTGTTCAATGTGCTTCTGGCTATGGGTTTCCCTGAATCTTATGTTAGGTTAATTGAAGCGTGTGTTACCACTCCAAAGCTTAGTGTTTCATTTAATGGAGGTCTCTGTGGTTATTTTTCTGCCGGGAAGGGTCTCAGGCAAGGAGACCCCCTCTCCCCATATCTCTTCACTGTAGCAATGGAGTACTTTTCGTGTTTAATGCACAGGGCAGCAGTGGATAACCAGGTTCCATACCATCCACGTTGTAAAGCCTTGCAGATCACTCATCTGTGTTTTGCGGATGATCTCCTAGTCTTTACAAATGGTTCAGTTAGGGGGGTGGCTGGTATTAAAAGAGTATTAGAACAGTTTTATATTGACTCTGGACTTCGATGTAACCCAGCTAAATGTCAGTTATTCTGTTGTGGTATTCCTGAGGATGAGAAGCACTGGATTTCCTCTGTTACTGGTTTTCCATTGGGGAGACTTCCTGTTCGTTACCTAGGTATACCTCTCATCTCAGGTAAGCTATCCTCTGCTGACTGTTCAGTGTTAGTTGAAAAGATAACCAAGAGGATCAATACTTGGCAAGCAAAAAAACTTAGTTATGCTGGTAGGTTGCGACTAATTTCATCAGTCATCACAAGTATTATGCAGTATTGGATGGCATTATTTCTGTTACCCTAGAAAATTTTGAAGGAGGTAGAGAGAATCTGTAATCAGTTTTTAAGGGGAGTGGGTAGCAGAAGCTTGAGGAAGAAGGCATTGATAGCCTGGCAGTATGTAGCGCTGCCAAAGAATGAAGGGGGTTTGGGGATAAGGGATTTCAAGAAATGGAACCAAGCATGTTTTATTCGACATATTTGGAATAAAATGGCTGTATCTGGTTCCCTTTGGGTAGCTTGGGTGAAGAAATATCGATTAAAGGCAAGGTCTATATGGGAAATTGCAGAGCACACTGCTGGGACATGGATTTGGAGGAAGATTCTGAAGAGCAGGGAAGGGGCAAGGAGTCATATAACTGGAAATGAAGAGGAGCTTGCTTGGGATGGCAAAATCTTGCCAAAATACTCTGTTAAACTAGTATGGAAGGCTATTCGAGATCCTCAGGCTGAAGTTGACTGGCACAAAGCTGTTTGGGGGAAACCACACAGTCCGAAGCACAGTTTACTGCTATGGATTGTTATTCTTAATAGAATTACCACGAAAGATAAACTGCAGAGATGGGGACTAACTGATGATACATCTTGTGGATTATGTCCAGGTGGTAATGAGTCAAGGGATCACCTTTTCTCAACTTGTTCGTATAGTAGGAGTGTTTTAAGCACTGTTTTGTCAAGATTTTGCAGGTTTCCAGAATTCAGTACATGGCAGGATCACTTGCAATGGGCAGTCAGAAAATGGACGAATGATACAGTAGTAAAATGTGAAGGAAGGTTGAGATGGTCGTTATGTGTGAGTTATATATGGAGAGAACGGTGTAGGCGAGCTCATGATAGTGTGATTAGCTCCCCAAGCAAGCTAGCTGGTCGGATTGAGGAAGAAGTGAAATGGTTACTTGTTGCTAAATCTCGCTGAAGTGATGTAAATGAAGCATAGATAGGGTTTACAGTTTGTATATAGGTAGTTCACTGTAAGGAATTTTCCAGGATGGTCTTTTGAGAAGGAGGTTTGCAGTTGCAACCTCTTGAGCTTAATGAAATTTTGATTAACCATAAAAAAAAAAACAATGGTAATGTCTATTTTTTATCCAAACCTTTCCAAGATTTTTATATTATCCAAATATGTTAAAATTCTATTAATTAGCCAAATCTTTCATAATGCATCAAAATATTAGCCATATTTACGTTATTGTTAAAATTTTTATAACTCTTTTCGTAGTTAAAATACAAAAAATTTGGATTGTTGACCTTCATGTGTCTCTTCGAAGTCAGTATCATATTGCCAATTCCATATTATTAACAAAATTGCTAACTAAAAGTTAACATTTGGTTAATTCTTAATATTTCGATAGGTTTGGATAACATAAAAGAATCCGAAAAATATTTGGATAAAAAATAGACATTAAAAAAAAAACAATGAGAAACCTAATAATATGTTTCGTAGATAATGTTGCAGTACGGAATCTAACCGTTTTCAATTTTATCCGACGTCCCAAACGAAGAATTTGAGCGGTTCGATTATGATAGGAAAGTACCACCATCCTCCCCTTGATTTAGTGGACCACTTTAGACAAGAACACAGAAAGAAGAAAAAAAACCCATCTCCATTTGCTACCAGAACGCATCTATATAAACCCATCTCCATTTGTGCACTTAGGAGCATAATCAGTAGACACAGCCCAAAACCAACATAAGATGGAAGCTCATCAACACCTAGCCATTTCCATCAACATGCAAACCCAAACATCAACCAACAAGTGCAATGAAACACCCAATTCCCCACAATCTCCTTCTCCATCACTAACCATAAAAGATCTCAAGTCGTCATCATCATCATCATTCCTCTTACTCCTATCCCGTTGCCACGCCGGCTACTTCCGCATAACCCTCTCCCTCACCAGCCAAGCCCTCCTCTGGAAAACCCTAATCCTCTCCTCGACCGCCGCCGCCGCCTTCGACCACCCGCTCCGCCGCGTCCCCTCCGCCGCCTTCACCCTCCTCTGGTCCCTCTCCTTCCTCACCCTCGCCGCCTTCTCCTCCCTCTACCTCCTCCGCTGCCTCCTCCGATTCCGCATGGTCAAGTCCGAGTTCCTCCACCACGTCGGCGTCAACTACCTCTTCGCCCCCTGGATCTCCTGGCTCCTCCTCCTCCTCTCCTCTCCCACCTTCCTCTCCCCCAAAACGACGCCGTTTCGAGCCCTCTGGTGCATCTTCGCAGGCCCCATATTGGTCCTCGACGTCAAGATCTACGGGCAGTGGTTCACCAAGGGGAAGCGCTTCCTGTCCACCGTGGCAAACCCGACCAGCCAGATGTCCGTCATCGGGAACCTCGTCGGGGCGCGGGCCGCGGCCGAGATGGGGTGGAGGGAGGTGGCCGTCTGCTTGTTCTCGCTGGGGATGGCGCATTACTTGGTGCTGTTTGTCACGCTTTATCAGAGGCTCTCCGGCGGGAACTGCCTGCCGTCGATGCTCCGGCCGGTGTTCTTCTTGTTCTTTGCCGCACCCAGCATGGCCAGCCTGGCGTGGGTGGCTATCTGCGGGAGGGTGGATACCTCGGCCAAGATGCTCTTCTTCCTTTCCCTTTTCCTCTTCTTGTCCCTGGTAATTATTGAAGTCTTTGTTTTTTTTTCTTCTTTCTCTTCTTGTTTGTGTTTCCTAATTTTTCCCATCAACTCAAGCTCTTAATGATCCAATTTTTTTTTTTTATTGATGTGCTACACTCATCATCATAACTTTAAAAGGCTCTTTTTATAATCACTTTAAAAGGAATTTGAAGAGTGAGTATCCACGTATGATAAAAATGCATAGCATATGTAAAAAAAAGTAAATATTAGTACTTTTTTGTGTAATTAATTATTTAGAACATTCATTGTTTTTACTCTAAGTGAAAGATAAATTTCGTTGGTTGTTGGTTTTAATGTTCGAACCGAGTGTGTGGTGAAACTTCTATTGCCACGTTAACTTTTCGGCACAGACATTATCAATCTCTTGTAAAATATAGAAATTAAAATCGGTTTTAGTAGTATTAGATTCATTCATGTTATTGTTTTCTTTTGAGTATAGTATGAAAAACATCAAACTTTGTTTTCCACCATGATTTTGACAAGCTATTTGTATATATATGTAATGTTCCCAAAATTCTTCCTTGGGTCCAATGGATCAAGAAGAGAAACTAAAGTTGATTTATAATTTCCAACAAAGTCAATACTTGTATATATGCAACTTGAAAGAAGGGGGAAAAAAACACATTCAACTTTCAATTAGGGGGGACCATAATAAGATCTCATCACAGTCCACCAAAAAGTGCATGAAAACTGATGTCATTTTCCAAAGCAAGTCCACGTTTGAAGGTGTTTTCTTAGTGTGTTCACACAGCGACAGCTATCTAATTTCATGATCCAAGTTGCGCACAAAAAAAAAAAAAAAAAAATCCCCCTTGTTTCCCTACATCCCTTTCACTAGTTCTTTTCCCGACCTAACTATTTGTCTGTCAATTCATTCAATGAACAGGTTTCAAGGCCAACCTTGTTCAAGAAATCCATGAGGAAGTTCAACGTAGCATGGTGGGCATACAGTTTTCCCCTGACGGTCTTGGCGTTGGCCTCTGTGGATTATGCTCAGGAAGTGAAGGGAGCGGTGGCTCATGCGCTAACGCACTTGTTGTCGTCCTTGTCCATCCTCGTCTCCTTCGCCTTAATGGTCTTTACCGTGCTCAACTTTCATATGCTTTTCCCGGATAACGATCCTGGGTTGTGTCCCAGTAGTAGCATCGACAAGAAGAACAACAAGTGTACTAATGACTTTAGTAGTGCGAAATTATCAACCCGGTGTTTGACGATCAAGATCGAGCCTAGTGAACCTGCGAAATCGTGATTAGAAGAATTAAAAGTCAATCAGTAAATAATGAAGGTTACCAAATGTAAGATATGTGCATTGTATGCGGTCTTAATTAAGCTATTCCTAACATGTCCTCCCTGTTAATTGTCATACATGTTTATTTAGGGTAATAAAACGACAAGTTGTGTTCTTCTTTTTCTGTGGGTTTAGGATTGGCTAAAGGACAACCATCCATCAAAAGTAGATGGTCTAGTTGCCATAAGTGCTTCTTTCTTGCTTGCTCCAACGGATAATGGAAGGGAAAAAAAACCCCATTTAGTCAATGCATGTGGATTTCTTTTTACATGTTATCTAAAATGATAGTTTATTTATGAATTTGAAATTTGTACTGCTTGATCATATAATACTTTTGTAATTAAACCATTTGTTAATATTGGAATCTTGAGGATTCAAATAACTATTTAGACCAACTGTAAAGGGTAATTAAAATGGTACATGGCTACTTTTCATTTTATCTTGCTTAATGTTACTGTTACTGTAAAGGGTAATTAAAATCGTACATAGCTACTTTTCATTTTGTCTTGCTTCATGTTATAGTGAATTGTAACCGATGAAGTACCATCGATTGTCACCTTTCCATAGACTATCTATGGTACTGAGCTAGCTAGCTAGCAGTAATAGAATTTAGCTATTTGAGTGTAGTACTATGCGTCTATTCCATTTCCTATGGATTAAAGTTGAACTTGTCAAATTCAGCTACCAACTTGCTCAATATGTGGGAGGAAAAGTAGACCACTTTCTTCAAAAGAGGCTGATAGTTCTGACGGTGCATATGTGGGTAGCAGAAAATTACTGGAGGGTATAAAAATTGGAAAAAATCTCAAAATAATCATGTAATGAGAAATATTTCCCAAATACATAAGTTATAATTTTTTTTCTTAATCTACATATGTTTGACATTCACCGCTTTAGTTAACAACAGTCAATACATCACCACTTTAATTAAAAGCGGAGAATACTTCACCGCTGTCGTCCAAAGCGGTGAAGCGTTCATCGTGCTAGGTTACAACGGTGAAGCGTTCACCCCACTAGGTCACAGCGATGAACAATTTCCACGTTTCCCAGCCCTGGTAGATGAATAATTAGGTCACAATCATCTAACCTTCACTGCCTTAGGGCAACGTGGGAAATGATTTCGCCGTTTTCTACAACAGCGGGAAATGCCTTCTGTTTGTCAAATAAATACCCCCTCCCCCGTAGCTACTAGCTACTGCTGGAAAATATATCCCCATTTCTCAGCCCATTTTGTAGCCTCTCTCCCATTTCTGTCAAATTTAAGCAAAGATCCCCTTCTCAACCTACTTCGTGCAACTATGATTACAAAATCTCCAATTTTTCGGTATGAACTAATTTTGTATTGATTAAATTATGATGTTTTAGTAGTTATTGTATGTATGTATGTATGTATGTATGTATGTATGTAATTAATTACTGTTAGTGGAAAATATGTTTTGTTAGAGATATTTAGATTAATTCTGGTATGATTGACGTTAGTTATGAATATAGATAAATTTGTTTACTATACTCATTTTATTGTAGTGCTAATTATGGTTCATGTTTCGATTAGTTAGTTGCATTTGTTTATGAGTTTGGATAATATTATTTTCGTAGTCGTAAAAATATGGTTTTGGTTTGAAACGTTGCTCCAAGTGCAGACAACCTGGATAAGACAAGAGGCATTGCCCAGGTCCATCACTCTAGCTCTAGCAAGATTCGGGCATAAATCTGGAGCAAGTTTGAGGCTTTTGTTTTCCAACATTGTTGTTAATTTGTAATGATGTTCAAATTGGGTATTTAGACTGGTAGTAGCTCGCTGTAAGCTGTGGAGCTTGCGGGGTCTGATACACCAGAGTCTGGTGCTTATGGTAGAATTGTGGGAGCCCTTGTGGAAACATGTCTCCCTCCCGAGATGGGGCATAGGTCGAGGACCCTCCATCCTGAGACGAGGCATAGGTCGAGTACCCTCTAGCTCCCTCCGTTGCAGTTGTCCACTCGTATGCAAAGGCCTCGGGAAGACGTGTAGCTTCAGTCGAACGAAGTTCTTCAATTGTTGGTTGAGACCTCTTTTTTCTCCTGCGTGGTGCCTCAATTGGGGGCACAATGTGCTCATCATCACGAAAAGGCGGGTGGTCCGGAGCAGGCTGTGGAGGGTATGCTATGGCATCTCTAATTTTCTCACGGGTACAACTTAACATGTTGTTCATAAGCCTCCACATATCAGATGTCTTCCGCTCATCCATGGTGGGTGCACTCTCGATGGTGTGCTTGAAAAGTTTTAAACCGTCAACCTATTCAATTTAAGTAGTAAAATATAATTAAATAAAGCTAACAATGTAGTCAATTTTAGGATGTACTCTAAACATGTAACCCAAGCACAAAATAATAGGACGAAAAGGAAGACTTGAGATCACTTACCAAGCTACCCATCATAGCTCCTTGCTTAGACACCCATCTAAGTGTGAGCTTCTGATGTCACTGCATGTACCCATCGTGGTACCCCATAGGTCTCATCTCCGGAATCCCTTGGACCATCCACTGAGCTTTATTCTCTCAAATATTGATGTAGAATTCATGCTTGCGGATCCAATCCTTTGCTTTGTGTTGTAGGTCGATGTCATGGAGCACCCTGAAGCCTTGTGGCATGGATGTTGGAATTGGTTGCTCCAATCGATATTTCCTGAAGGATCGATCCGGCAAGTGCCACTCCACGATGTGCCAACAAATCAATGGCACTTTGCACAACCACGTCTTATGATCCTCAAGGTGTCTAAGTAGATGCATCTCGACCACTTCAGGTGGATATGGGTCCCATGTCACCTATACTCATTAATAATTTGCAGTTATAACCAATTACATCCACGCTAGTACTAAGAAGTTAAAATATTGAATTGTCATGTTTACCTAATACCACCAAGGTTTATTAAACTCAACACGATAAAATAGTAAAATGTGCTCAGGTTGGTGGTCGTTTGTATTTGCTCTGATTCACCTTGTAAGTATAAGTACACATATAAGAATTTTTTAAAGCATCTAATCAATTTATGTAATAAACTAAGCATGAAATAATTCTAAATTTAGAGCCAAGCATGTAAAAAATACGTTTCTAATAAATCTAAGCAATTGAACTAAATAATTACAAAACCTCAAGTAAAGTAAACTTACTTGACACCATAGGGGGGATTTTGGACAAAGCGTAGCTCCTCATTTTGGACCCAGAATTCCCGCGGGTAGGTGCAAAATCGGAAGACGCTCCCATGCCCATAGCTGGAGGATGAACCTCGCACCACCAACTTGTTTCGCTCCCAGTTTCGAGCAAGTACAGAGCTCCCTATATATCCCAGCTAACACTGCAGACCTCCAACTCTTTTTCCGATCGTATTCCCAGTCACCAAGGAACAACGACAACCACATGCCATGTATCCACTTGTTTGACTTGTCGGGGAACATACCAAGCCAATGAGGTGGACGTGTGCATACCGCTCCACTTAATCTTCGGGTGTGTCTGCACCAAGATGAACCTCATTTTCAATGTGATCAACGAGCCACAAGATTGATATTTGCCCGCATTTAGTGGTGGATGCCCACGTCATGGGGGCACAGTCTGGGTCAGCATGTTGAAGCCCAGACGATCGAGAATCGGCGGCCCCCAGCCTGCTTCGGGTCTTCCCTAGGTTCCAATGATCGCATCTCCAATGACCGCCAGCCCGGTGAGGATGACAACGTCTCTAAGGGTGATCGTCATTTCCCCATCGAGAAAATGGAACGTATGTGTAGGAGATACGATTGGCTTATGCAAAGGGAACTGAGAAATCGTCAGTATCAACAATTTTGTTTATTAATAAGTTATTTTCACGATATATAGCAAAATTAGAAAGTCCAACAATGTCGTGCTGGAATTAGGGAGATATAGTAAAGGATGTTATTAAAAAGAAAGAACACTTTAGGAGAGATAGCTACCAAATACTTTTGAAATTGAACATCACCTAACCATTTAATCTATTTTGTAAATATAATTTCCAAAATATTATTATTCTTTTCGTTGCATTAAACTTTGATTTCATAGAAGACACAAATATGTAGGGGTAGGCATGTGGATGACTGATCCGCGTTTTGATATCGATCCACCCGCAAATAATATGAAGCGAATGGGTGGTTAACCGATGTGGATGAATTGCGGATTGATAAATCTCATATCCGCACTTATTCGGGTGTGTGGTGAGTGGATTGCGGATCATCCGAATGACCCGTATCCTCTTTCCATATGACAAAAAGTTGTTTATTCTTCATGTTATTGAATGATCATCGTGTTTTCTAACCACACTATAAACTATAATTGACCTAAATGAAGAATAAATCATTTTTTATACTACTATTATTAGTTACTATTTTCTATTGCCCATTAGATATTGGGATGCCAATCATGAACTATTAAGTGTATGAAAGTCACAAAAATTGTCAATTTTAGCGACACAATTGGTCGATGGTGTAGCTGAAGATGTGAGTGATGCAAATACTATGCAGATCCACTAGAGACAAAGTAAGATGTGTCTAAATTGCTAGCTTCTTACTAATTATCAAGGAACATATCATAAATATTAGTCAATTTGCGTAATGGTTAGTTGGAGAATTACTTTTGCGAGTTAACCCAAAACTTAACTACACCCACCCGCCACCTACCCAACTCAACCCGAAGAACAATGTGGGTGGATAGCGAGTCACAATAATACTAATCCGCAAGTAAGCGGGTGGGTCAACTATTTCATATAAAAACCCACCCAAACCACCCATTTTCCATCCTAGAAAAATGTCTTTTTGACAAATATCAAATTCAAAAATTCAAATCCAACCAATTCAAACCTAAGACATTAATATTGAGATACTAGTTTGTGATACATGTCTTAATTTGAACATTTTCTTGCGCTTCTGCTCTATCAGCTTATGAAAATAGCAAAGTGGAAGTCTAGGAGTATACATTAACATGTACGCGGTAGTCGGAATAATGGTTAGAAGAATTGAGTGCAATTTTCTCTTTAGACTGGGGGGAGGAATAAATATTACATAAGACCCAATTAATCCCAACGGACCAAATTACTAAATGTGTGGCCCACTATTTGTTTTGATAACTGTG